GCTCCGTTACTCCCATGCCCTGGTGCGTATTGCCTGGTGCTGGTACGTTACCCTTTGAGTTTTTCTTTGGGCGGGTGTGGGAAGCGTCCTCCTTTATTTTTCTTTTTGTTTTATTTTGATCGGTGTCCGAGGGCTCTTTTCTCGAACGGTCGGTGCGATACCTGTTACTTTCTTTCGATCATTTTGTTTTCTTTTTCCGAGTGGTTTGTTCCCTATTTTTGTATTGTTTCCCCGCGGCGTCGTATGTGCCGGGTTTCGAGACCACGGGCTCCCCATTTTTTGTGGACTATAGAGCTAATGTGAGAAACAACAACAACAACCCTCTGTGGGCTGATGTCTCCACGACAGAATGGTGGCAGCGCCGAGAACAGCGGCGTTGAAGCTGTCTCATCGAGAGCTTTCCGTAAATGTATTATTTCATTCATCCATCCTCTTCGTCGTGGAGTGCCGGTAGTCGACCTTCGAAAATCGATCCAGGGGGTGTGATATCTTGTGTCACCCACGGTACCACTCGTCAACAAGGGTGTAGGGAACACAGCAGCGGGATCATGCCTCCCTCTCTTCGCCCGGGACTAAACGCGTTCAATCTGGTCACTGCCGCCCTCTCTCTGCACTACATGTTGCCAGGCTCGACAATGGCGCAAAATAGTCCGGTAGGGTGGGCGGCAGCTTCACTGCCCGAGTCCTTTACGGCCTTGCTGGTGTTGGCGTGCTCAGCGCGAGGAGGGAGCGGCTTCGTCGCCGGGCCAATATCGGAGCCGATGTCGAAAGGTGGGAGGAAATAAATGTTATCCTTGGGAAAGCTGCTGCAATGTTCCAACAGGTATCTATCTATACATGGCCAGTGAGTATTGGCGGCGAGGGACCATCGTCGCTATTTGTAGGTCGTCAGCGACAGAAGAAGGTTAAGGTTGTACCGTACCGCCCCTCGTACTTACACAGTTCGTGCCCGTACTCAAGGAGCTTGGCAAGTAAGAAAATCGAGTCTCGAAATTCTCAAAAACTCAAAGAAATTGAGTCATTTGTGAAGCCGGGTCAAGAACTCCTTTATTCGAGCGAAGCGAGATTTCTAATCTGGCCTGAGGTCTCACTGCAATATAGGGGCTGATGCAGGAAAAAAAGTTTGTGCAACGATGTTCGCTTAAACTAGGTTTTAGAGTACATGACTTGATTTTTGACTAAAGGGCGCACTTGTTTTTTTTTTTGAGAACACAGCAGCAGCAACAGCAGACAACACGCGCTCAGCGAGCAGACTGACACTGAACACTGAACACACGCACAGCAGACAACACGCGCTCAGCGGGCACAGCGACACACCAACAGCGCAGAGCGGACACAGCCACAGCGGCCTTCATGGCATGGCAATTGTATGAATAGATTTCCGTTGCGGTCGATTGACCCGAACTCCCTCCATGAGGCGGAGGCGCACACAGACTCACGGCGCAGACAAAGCCACGGGGAGAGAGGGAGTCCCTAGGCAGCCCACGGGGTTGAACAAGGTGAAGGAGCTGGGAAGCAGGGTACCTTCTACACACTGCTGTTAGACAACTTCTCATTCATACAAAGACTGTATGTATAGCTATTAGGGAGGAGAGGAGGTCAATCTCCAGCACCAAAGGCATCATGTCATGCGTCGGCATGGATAGAGTTGAGCGTGCCGGAGGAGGGAGATGTATGGATGGTTGCATAGATGCGAACATATATATTTTGTAGTGTTTTCGGCATTGCGGCAAGCAGCACGAAAGAGCCAACAGACGTCATATCGCCTCCTTTCCTTTTCCCACACCATTCAACACTGCTTTCGTGCTGCGACAAACTGCGACGGCATGCTGTCACTCATGCACCCAAGCCATAGGATAGGGCAAACTCCTTCTTGCTAGGGCCAGGCTATGGCAGTCAGTCATGGCGGCCAGGTGTCTCGCGCACGACGGTCAGGTTGATATTGAACGTAGACGAACGAGTGTAAATTCCGGCTTTCTTTGCGGCCAACAAACAGCACAATGAGACTGCAGACCACCTTGCCACACACATTTGCGTGCCATGACGACGGCGCGCTGTCACGCACTCAAGTCATGGGATTGGGCACACTCCTTTTCGGTAGGGTGACGCTATGGTAGTCATGGTGGCGCGGTGTCATGCAGGAGTGTCACGTTTGGCGCGGTCGCTGCCGCGGGTAGGTCGTGTACTGGGCAATCAAATATTTGCTGAGAAATTTGTCCGACATCAACGTCATCCACCTGTCAGGCCTGTCACAGGTGGTCAGAAAAATTTCAACACCAGCCCACAGCAGTAGTAGGTGTAGTGTCAAGTGTGTGGTGTTTACGCTCTGTTTCCGCCCGCCCGTGGACGCACACGTCTGACGACAGTTATATCTATCAGCTGTCGCTCGTTGTAGCGACAGCTATCCTATCTTTATATCCTACCAATGTTGCGGCCATTTGTAGCACAACCCTACGGTGGGAAACAAGAACCCCAGCCTCGGCGAAGACTAGATGTTCCCACTTAAGTGCGGGCGCGACCTGCTTTATATGAATCGCGAGGAAATCGGGTACATATGGCGTTTTCGCCATACGCGGCGAGGCACACGGGTCGTTTGACCTTTGTGCTTGGGGGGCCCGGCCCGTACATGAAAAATACAAACGTACGTGTGTCGGTGGCGGGGATGGCTGCGTTGGGAGGCAGGGGTAGCGAGCAAGCAGCTTACACACGGCGACGTTGTAGATGTCGACGAAGTCTAGGATTGGACTCGGCGGCGAAGCGAGATACAGGCACGATTGAAACGTTCATGGCGGGTCGTCACGGCAATGGGGCGGTCTGTGCGCCCTTGAGCTTTTCGCGCATTGCTGGCACTCAGAACATGCACCCGGCGGAGCAAATTGAGATGTTTTCAGCATTTTGGGAATGATGGGATTTAGCCGTATCTAGGGTTATGCACAGCCGTTGTGATTGTACGTCCTGAGACCTGCCGCGAGTTAACCTGTCGGAAAACTAGGCCATCGCTGCTCCGGGTGCAGATCTCAAGCCAGCAACCTCGAACTTGAACATGGAACTTAATCATGCGTTCTTACGAGAGCCGCACATGCCAAGGCAGTCTATATCCATGAGACAGCATTGGTTGAGGGCGTTTCATCAGGTGCGTGTCGGTGACTCGGTTCAAGGTTTCTTGTAACGAGTTGCGGTTGCTAACCTCAGCAGCACCCGAAATAGAAACTCCAGATCGTACGTCCTTTCGACGTCACCCGGCCCTTGATTTCCCGAGGTAGAGAAGGGTTGCTCAACGGGACAGCAGTCGAAATCGAACAACGGAGTACCCTTGGAGGACCATCACGGGCGGGTAAGGAAATCCATATCTTGCCCGTAAGATCCAAAGTTGCCACAGTTTTCGACCAAGGGCCTTGTCCCTAAAAATCTAAATATCCGCACCATCGTCGTCGTCCCCCGTCCCCCCCCACCCCTGCGACGCTGCTGCGTGTGTGCGTCGACAGGAAGCGCAGCCCGTGGTCCTGCGCATTCTGCGGTACCCACATACCCGGCGTGCGGCGGCGCCGCAGGGGGGGTGTACCATTCCTCTCGGATGTGCCGGCACGCGCAGAGTTATTGCAGGGCAGCTCCAAAGTTGAGAGCAGCCACGGCGGTTGTGACGATGCAAGGGGCTGCTCGGGGGAATTCCAGGTCTGCGCGGAAGCTTCAGGCGGCGTTGCGAGAAGCGGCGACAACGGGGAAGTGGAGAGAAACCCTCGGCATCCTCGACGAGATGAAGGAGGGCGGGGTTGTCTGTGCGCACTCGTACACCACGGCCATCACGACGTGCGGAAGGCAGGGGCAGTGGGAGAAGGCCTTGGAGCTGCTGCGAGAGATTCCGGAGCAAGAAGGGGTGTCGCCCAACGTGTTCTGCTACAACTCGGCCATAGAGGCTTGTGGGAGCGGCGATCAATGGGAAACAGCCATAAGCCTCTTGAGAGAAATGGTGGACAAAGAAGTAGCCCCCGACGAGATCAGCTACAATTCCGCGATAAAGGCGTGCGGAAGGGGTGGCCAGTGGGAGAGAGCGATAGGTCTGCTGAGAGAGATGCCGTCGATGGGGTTGACGCCCGATGCCATCACCTACAACTCGGTCATCACGGGGTGCGGAAAAGAGGGGCGGTGGAAGGAGGCGTTGAGTCTGCTGAGAGAAATGCCGGCCAAGGGATTGACTCCCGAAACGATCAGCTCCAACATGGTCATGAGGGCGTGCGGTAGGAGCGGTCGGTGGAAGGAGGCCGTGGAGGTGCTACGACAGATGGAGTCACAAGGGGTGACTCCAAACGCCATCAGCTACAACGCGGCGATTAAGGCGTGCGGGGGTGGCGGGCAGTGGGAGACGAGTGTGGACCTACTGGATGAGATGGCTGGACGTGGGGTAGCCCCGAACACGATTCACTTTAACTCGGCGATCGCGGCCTGCGGAAAGGGGGGTCAGTGGGAGAAAGCTGTGGAGCTTCTCAGGGAAGTAACGGCGCGGGGACTGACGCCTGATGCCACCAGCTACAACGCGGCCATCGCCGCCTGCACCAAGAGTGGTCGGTGGAAGGAGGCTTTAGAATTGCTGAAGGAGATGCCAGCAAAGCGATTGAAACCGGACGCTATCAGCTACAACTCAGCCATTGAGGCGTGCGGTAAGGGTGGTCAGTGGGAGATGGCATTGGAACTGCGAAGACAGATGCCAGCAAAGGGGTTAACCCCGGACGTTATCAGCAGCAATATTGCGATCAGGGCGTGCGGTGAGAAAGGGCGGTGGCAAGAGGGCTTGGAGTTGCTAAGGCAGATGCCAGCGCAGGGATTAACCCCGAATGTAATCACTTACAATTCGGCCATCAAAGCGTGTGGAAAGGGTGGCCAGTGGGAAAAGGCCCTGGACCTGCTGGCGAAGATGAAGGAGCTAGCAATGGCCCCTGACTCGATAACCTACAACTCGGCTATCGCTGCATGCAGCAAGCGTGGTCGGTGGAAGGAGGCTGTGGCATTGCTGAGAGAAATGCCAGGACAGGGACTAACCCCGGATGTCATCAGCTATACCGCTGCCATTGACGCATACGGCAAGAATGGGCAGTGGGAGAGGGCTGTGGAGTTGCTACGACAGATGCCAACCAAGGGATTGACCCCGAATGTAATTACCTACAATTCGGTTATCAAAGCTTGCGGAAGGGGCGGTGAATGGGAGAAGGCCCTCGATCTACTGAAAGAATTGAAAGAGACGGCAATAGCCCCTGACTTGATAAGCTATAACTTAGCAATCTCGGCATGCGGCAAGCGTGGTCGTTGGGAAGAGGCTCTGGACCTGCTGCGAGAGATGCCGGCGGAGGGACTAACCCCGGATGTTATCAGCTACACGTCAGCCATCAGGGCATGCAACGCCGAGGGGGAGTGGGAAAAGGCCCTGGGTCTGCTGAACTTGATGGACGCACACGGAGTATCACCAACGGCTACGAGCTATAGCCTGGCCATCGAGGCGTGCGGGAAGGGTGGCAGGCGGGAAAAGGCTGTTAGCCTTGTGAGAGAGATGGCGCAGCGGGGGTTGTCCCACAGGAACATCAGTAATAGTTTGATCGTTGAAGCACTTGGGGATGATAGCAAGTGACAGCACTTCTTGTCAGCAGTAGGAGAAACGATGAGGTGGTTGACTGTTTCAACTGCAACGAAGCGGCTATCACTGAAAGGTGGCGAAGCCGGCGGAGAAAGTGATCACTGGGTTGAAGCGGTGAATCTCGTTCGAGAAATACCCAGACTAGGGCTTGTACACCGTGATGAAATAGAACAAGCTGCAGTTTCTGCGGTTAGAATAGACGACGTTTACGAGTAGAGGGCTGTTGGTGCTGCGCACACTAAAAAAGTGGCGGAACTGCTGTTTCACTTGGAGGCGCCCGTTATGTTTCTCCTCTGGTTTTTGTGTATGTATAGGAAGTATGGCTCCGGGAATTCGTTTTCACCGATTGTATTCGTGCATACGAGGGGAGATCGTCAGGTCTGCATTTTTTTTTTTTTTGTCTACACTTCAAATCAGCGCTCACAGCACTGGTGCCGTTTACCCCAACCCGTGGTACCCGTGGTCACACAGAAGAGCCCCTCTCTACTCTCCCCTCCTGCGGTACTTTGCCTTCGATTTTTAATGCGAGGAGAGTTCAGCACTCTCTTCCTTCTGTGTACACACGAACTAGCACTATCCACGAGGCCAGGAGCGGAAGCGAGAGAAAAACTCACTTTGCAAGAAATGCTCGCTTACGCCGGGATTCGAACCCATGACCTGATCTCTAGAAGGTTTCGAAGATACCAACTAGACCACCGGGGCGACCGGGGCACGGTACGGTATTGTCAAGTGTTCCCACAAAAGAAGGAAACGGTGGTCGCATTCTACCCCGAGGTCACCTGCCCACTTTTCCGTACCTGCAACCGCATGCCGGTTTTCCGAACCATCTGTAGTTCAACTCCTTCGGACGACAAGAGTCGAACGAATGTCCTACTTTAACAACATCCCGGCGTGGTGGCATCTATCGTCTTTCGGCTCGCATTCTCTTTCTTATTGGCGCTGCCCATGCCGTCACAGGTCTCGTCCCACACAAGTCACCATGTAAAGACAGCCAATGAGAGTGAATGCGCAGTCGTTGGCATCGTTTTTTTCTCATGCCGGGGGTTTGGCCGTCATGTCGTATCCTCGGTATCACAGGAGGGCTGATTCTCTCTCTCTCCCGCGGTGTTGGTCCTACGCACAAGGCGTAACCTAAAGAAATGGGTGCAAACATTTCCCTCCTTTTCGTGCGCCTCTCCGTGGCTTCCTTATTTTGTGTACTTCATGCCACCCGCTTCGTTAAAACAGACCGTGCTTCAGATGCCTCTGACCAATCATTGCGGGGAAATCAGATTCGGGGATAAGCGGACAATTGTTCCCCGAGCTAGCCCCCCCTTCCCAACCACGCTCCCTGCACACAGCCCCCTATCCCCGAGGGTTCCGAACTGCTATATACCTTCAACGGCACTAATTTTCTACAGAAGGCGTGGACGCACACTTCCGCGACGACTGCTGCACAAAATCGAACAGCAGCAGCTAGCCGCGCGGCCGAACGTGAGGAAAAAACATTCATGTACAATCTGTCGCAAGTCGATTAATGTCGTCTACAAGCAAAACCCCGGCAGGCACGCGACCTAGCGCACCCGCGGCCGCCACACGGCTCACGTTCTCCACCGCCACGGGAGGGGTCAACATTGCCTCGAGAGGGCTGGAGCTGCGCACGGCTGCGAAGGGCGCCAGGTTGAACAGCTTTGCACGAAAGAAACCAACAGATGAGGGCAGGCAAACGCGTCAGGAGAAAAGGGGTCAGATATCCTCTTAGTTCTTGCTTGCGGATAAATAGGCGTTCGCCTGTACGTTGCGTGACAAACACGGCAGTACTGCCTTGTGCGTAATCGGATTTTTGAAGTTTGAAACCATCATACAGACGATTCTCCGTGCACCCCCATCAACCAATTTCTTTCTAACTTCAGTGCGGACGTCCGTGCGTACTTGAACCGGTGGAGCGTGGAACTCAAAGTGCCTGTGGCAACAGAGCGCCCGGGATTCGGGGCCACCCGACCCTCTCAACGCCTCAGCGCAACTTCGATTGTTGCACCACTACTTGCTTCGTGCGAGGGACACGAGCGCCTTCATCTTTCAAACATGTTTAGAGCAAGCTCGCAATGAGCGCTGCGTTGTCCGATAAATCTGTTCAGGGGTGAGCACACGAGCTCTCCTACGTACCATTTCCATGGGCCTCATCAATGCCCCGAGGGGAACAGTGACGGGCCCGACGTCTCTGTCTCCGTAGATGCCGGGGGCGCGCAGGACCAGGCCTCCTTCTGGAAACCTGCACCAGCACACGCAAAAATAAATGAATAACAAGTCCGCAAAAAATTACTAAAAACGAAAAAAAACAAATTGACACTTCCGAAATGTACATGAAGCCCCCCCCTTCAGAGCATTCATTGTCTCGTGCTCGCTCCCTTGCTGTATGTATTTGCCGGCTTCTGACAGGCGTTGCGACAAGCTTGCGATCAAAGACTAGATTCCTGGAACGATCTCATGCGAAGAGCAGCACCAACAACGGACACCATAACATAATCAATGAACTAAAACACCCTTTCTACAACACAGAACAAGAGCAAATCGCACGCGCAAGTATGGTCCCTCCGCACACAAAACGTTGGGTTCCGAATTAGACCCCGATGATTCAAGCGCGCTCGCCGCCGCCCCCTGCATTTCCAGCGCCTGTGCTTGCCGTCGGAAGCATTCGATAGTGTTAAGATTGAAAATCCAGCCGGGAGCGAGCGTGCTCAGGGCGACGCCATCAGGGCAAAGGCTCACCGTTCTAGGATGGCTTTTTCGGCTTTCTGTTTCCCCTTCCAGTACCCTTTCATTACCGGGTGGTCGTGCTGTGCCCCTGCTGCGGAGATGAAAACAAACCTCTTCACATGCGCCTAGAAGGATGGCCGGTGTGATGCCAGCAGAGCCAGCCGGAGGGGGGGTACAGGGCAGGCGGGAGAAAAATGAAACCGAAAGCCGTGGATGAACTCTTTGTCCTACAGTAGCGTTGCGGCCTTGAAGGGACAGCGGAGCAGCTGCCACCTTGTGTGTGTGAGCAAGCTACTACAAACACGTTCCTGGTTGATCGAAAGCACTTGTGGAAAGCCCTTACGTCGTGAAAGCTACTTGCCTGCTACATGAAGAGAAAACGGGCTTGCCGTAATTGAGGGAAAATAGGTTGTGTTCGTGTACATAGGAGGCAAGGAATCAGAGGTACACATGCGACGAGAGTTTGACACACATCAACAATTACCAGCATTGGCACGATCGCGTATGGTCAGATATGCATGCAATAAAAACAAACAGGATTACAACGACCGTTTTGTGAAACAAACACCTTGCTAAAACAGCTGCCCGAGTGTCGGTGGTGCCCCAACTCAGGGTGTGATCTACTCTCGAGGGCAAGAGATAAAGGGGAACACCGCTGTACCCCCGCCGCCTTGCGATGAGCACGGCTCGCCAAACAGCTGGCACCTTTTCGGCAGCTTCCGTTGCGGCGACCGTGGCGTCTCCGCAGATCTTCTCCATTTGCTCATCTGATCCAAAGGCGCCCACGCAGCTGACAACCCCTGCTGCGCCAGATAGCTTGGGACGAAACGAGATAACAATGCAAAGCGTCACAGCAGAAGCACAAATAAGCCCTATATCGCTCCACGATCACGAAGGAACGCGAGTCAATCAGCCGCAAATGATTGGCTACTCGCTCGCTGCAAACCATGCTGCATGCGCCGAACAATCACTTGTGAAATCAATGCAGACCACGCACCTGATTGTCCGCAGCTACAACCAAACAAAATCAGTGAGGACCATTAATCGTTGCTTCAGCAGGTTTCATACAAATGTGGCATTCTCACCGAGTTCTCGGGAACCTGGCACAAAACAACAGACTCAACACTGCGATCGCGATGATCTCGGTACACCTACTGTACTCCAACTGCAATGAGTGCTTCCCCCGGCCCGGTACTACATCATGTTCTTGACACAAGGTCGATACGCTAAGCTTTGCGACACAGCATTCCCCTCGTGCAGTCTGTGTACGCTCACAGCATTCATGTGTGGTTCCACAGCAGCATTCTCATGGCAGGACGCACCTCGGCAGCGTAGTCCTCCGGCTTGAAGATGTCCGCTTGAACCCACCGAACCTTGTCTTTCCACGCCTTGTCCTTGCCGGGTGGGGCGCCCCTCCTGTTGACGCTCACCACATCAGCCCCCATACGGAGGGCCGCCTGGCAAACGTTCTGGCCCACGAAGCCGCTACCGCCAAATACGATCACCTGTTTTTGTTCGCGGCAGAGGCACATGGTTATCCAGCTTGTCCACGTTCTTGACAAATGCATGCACAACAAGACCAACGCGGGTAGTACAGGGTACAATACCCTCTCCAATGACCATCAGAGGAGCAGACCAGGACAGTACCTACCTGTGATTCCCCAGTGCTACTGTTCTTGTTTAGCGCTGTGCATAGTACACCGCAGTAGGAATGAAAAGAGGGCCGGTACACCAGGCTCAATATCGGGCTAAGTAGGCAGCAGCGATAGTGTGCGCGACGTCAACACAATTTATGGCGGTACGAGTTCGGGTCGGTAGATCATCCCTCCTTGCGTGCGATACTGAGCGGCGGACGATTCGCGAAGCCGTTTCTTCCATTCGCTCTCGCGCGCGTGTGCAAGGTGTTTTTATCCCTTGTGTCTCTGGCGCAACAACTACGAGGGACACACGTGATTCCTCGATCCAGGAGTGAGGCACAAAGGCGTCTTGTGCACCAACGGGCAATCCTTGCGAAAGGACAATGATTTTTTTCATTAGCATCGACGGCGCTGACCAACGAAAATACCCAGACGAAGAAAGTAGACATGGTATTTTGCGCTTTCTCATGAATGTGTGTGCACGAATTTTTTATTTTTTGCCCACATGTGAGAGCCAGTTTCTGCGGAGGAAAACATGCGAGATCATCACATGTCAGATAGATCCAATCCGTCCGCAACAGAGAGCAGGTAGAATCTAGGTGTACGAAAGGGTCTGAACGGTTGCCACCCTCTGTCTGTTTGTACCGTGTGGGTGGGTAACCTCCAGAGCGGCATTGCGACAGCTCGTGTCTAAGGTCAGCGGCAGTCAAACGCCATAGCTTGATGTGGGCGTTCTCTGAACGTAGGTCAACCGGGTACAGTCGACCCCGCTTTAAGGACGCACATGGTTTTTCCCGAAAAAAAAACGTCCTTCAAGCGGGGTTGCGTCCTTCAACTTCAGGGGACGATAGCTCACCATCCCCGGGGCCAATGGAGGCATGCTATACCTCAAACTACGCGTCTTTTGTTAAGGAAGGGGGTGGTACGAAAAGTCAGCGTCGCCGAGACGACTGGCAACCGTTTGTTGACGTCGAACATATTTACAGTAGCGGCTACGGTTTAAGAGAACTTATTTAAGACAAAGTACGGATTAAAGAGAGAGGAATTGGCTTGTACCAATCAAAATCGATTTAAGAGAAATTTCCTATTGCAGCTGGGATTTTTCTCTTAAATCGAACAATATGGAAACCACGTGGACACACACACACATCACACACCCACACAGCTGCAGACACCATGCCCTGCGCGGCGGGCAGTCGCTGCACGGCTGTCCCCGATCACACGCCAGGCCCGCCGGCGTTCACAAATCACCAATGTAGAGGAGTCTGCGGGCAGTACCTCCATGGCACCTGTGGTGTGGTGGACCCTCAGGGCACCTCCGAGATGCATCGCATCTGCCACAACTGCCTGTCCTCCCGTGAGCGCATGACTTCAGGCGGTAGAAACATGGCTGTCTGTAGAGGACAACGTGGAGGTAGCCGAAGCGATCGTAACAGAGATGGTAGAGGACCTCTGTGATGAGAATTTGGTGGACATGGATCGTTCCTCTGACGACGAGGACGACGACCTGGTTGAGCTACGCCAATCGGGACAGTCGGCGGCGGCAGCGGCCCCGGCTCCGCCGCCGTACGCGAATGTAGCAACCCATTTTGGTGAACTCGAGGATACTGCCGAGAAGTGCCGCATGTCCGAAGTGTCTTTTCACCTCCGCAAGGCTAAGCTAGCGTGGATGAGTGCCTACGGTTCGAGGGAAACCAAGCAGACGTGCATGAGCGACTTCCTTTGACGGTTGCAGCGCAGATCGTGTTCAGGCTGACAGGTCGCCAGGGTAGCGTTGGTTTCTTGGGTTTGTGTTATTTGCACGGCGAGTGATGTATTGATATTGTGAAGCTATTTTTTTTCGTTGACTTGTGTTTTTGTCGGGGGATTAAATCGATGGGATGAGAGGTATGAGGGTGTTATGTTGAGGGTACGGTGGGAGGAAGGGGTGCATTGTGTAAACGGGTGCGTCGTTCTTGAGTGCTGGTGCATTCGTTGCCTCGTGTTGTCCTTCTAGAAGAGGTGCGACTATGAAACACAGCTATAAAACAACTCAACCAAAAACCTTTTACGTGTCCACGTGCAAAATGTGCATCGCATCACACAACGATGATTTATTTTCCGAACGCAGATCCACCAAAAGCGTACCACGTACAGCAGTACTTGGGTCCACGTTCTTGCCAACCAAGAGAATGAGCGGTGTTTGGAGGTAGCCCGACGTGGTAACGCTAGCTGCGCAAGTGACATGCATGATACGCTCTCTTCATGACCTATTTTGGCATTCGAGTGTAGTCAGGGCGCGAGAGTCCCTGTTTGACGACCTTTAGTTTTGTCTACGATATTAGAGAATATTCTCTTATAGTGAGATACTGTTTAAGAGAATTCTCTCTTATACCGTAGCCAACACGATATAACAGAAAGCCGGATTTAAGAGAGTGAAATTGGCTTGTACCGACCCTCTCTTAAACCGTAGCCGCTACTGTACAAAAATTAAAATGACATGTACAGCAGTCGGGGACGTGTTGAAAACAACTACAGTACACCAGTTTGTACTTGGCCAACTAATGTACTACATAGCCGGCAGCGGAAGAAGGAAAGTCCAAGTAGACACATATGGTATTTATCACATTCTTGTGAAACAAAAAAGAACAGCGTATTTCAGCGTCGCACCGAGGAACGCCAGACAGTTCATATCACTGTCCCGGCGGAGACCAAAAGCTACCACCCTGATGATGGCTTTTCCTTCCACATGTCTAGAAGAGTTCCCTGAAGCTCCCCCGGCGGCTTGGCTCTACGGCTCTGTTGAGTTTCATGAGTAAACGAATGAATGGTCTTCGGAAGAAGGTACTGCGTCTCACGGTACTCGCCACCCCTTCCCTTCGCGTACAAATACATATAGCGCCCGCAGTTAAGAAAAATTATGCCAAGAAAAAAGGCTCAAGTTTGTACGAACAATATGAAAGAGGGCTTGAGAAACATAGCTCAATCTCGGCCACAACGTAAGAACCGCCCCAATAAGAAACATGATAGTGCGATACCCCCATGACATCAGAAATCTGCGGTGCTCCCACCCCCCTCCCAAGCTGAACAGAAGTGCATTTTTTTTTCTAGGGGGCAGAGTCCCCCGCCGCCTCCCCCGCGCCCCTGCTGTTCACAGTGAGTGCTGTACTGTAGTACTGCCACACATCGCAGACAACCATACNTGCTCCCACCCCCCTCCCAAGCTGAACAGAAGTGCATTTTTTTTTCTAGGGGGCAGAGTCCCCCGCCGCCTCCCCCGCGCCCCTGCTGTTCACAGTGAGTGCTGTACTGTAGTACTGCCACACATCGCAGACAACCATACATATATTTTTTGTCTCCCATCATTGGACTCTGTCGTCTGCCCCTCTGGCCCCTATCCTCCACTTCTACCAGCTAGACGACCCAACCTGGGTCACATAGGAGGGGGGGTGGACCCCCTCCTGCGGTTCCTGCCTGAGATATTTTTATCGCGAGAAAGGTACAGTAATCCCTTCCCTCGCCACTTACGAAGTCTTATCAAGATTACTAACAACGAGCTTTGCAGCGCGTCGCTTCCAACGGAGACCAGGATTTAATTAGCGAGAAAACACTCACTCTGTCGGGACTCGAACCCATGACCTGGCCCTTAGCAGGCTGCGAGGCTACCCACTAGACCACCGGGGCGACCGGTATGCTATCCGCTGTTGTACGGGTTTGATGGCACTCTCCACCACCTCTCATCAGGAACGAGAGAATCGGGAGGATGCGACAGTCCAAAGGACGAAGAGATGCAATTTACGAAAATGGACGACTTGGGCCGGTACTTCGACCCAAAAGAAAGGATTGAGGCTCGAACCGATTTTGACGTTTCTTAACTGTAGGAACGAACGTTGTTTGGGATGTCGGCGCGTGTACTATGTTATCACGCTCGCGGGCTCTTGTCGAGAGCGTGTTGCACAAAGGAGTGACTCAAGTTCCTTGATTAACTATTAACGAGTGACAAGCATGAGCAGCAGGCAAGAAGGACCTGCTGCTGCACACACGTCTGCATATACCCAAACCTATCATATATGCGTACCCCCTCGGATATCTCGGAGATCTGTATCCTGCCGAGTACATACACAAACA